CATCCCATTCTAAACTGTTAGGACAAAGGAAAGGGAATCAGATGGCTTCCTATTAAGTAAATTACTTCCTTCAACTTGGAGCTTCCTCACAGGGATAAGCTGCAACATAAAGTTAAGGAACTAAGACCTCATCTTGAGAAGGAAACAAATGTGTAATAAAGCTAGCTGGACAACAAGATTTAATACACAACAGGGCTTGAGCATTTAGAATTTGTTTTTCTCCATGAGAACCCATTGTTGGATCAGTCAAGGTCACTTTACCGTTTACTACAGAAAAACTTAAAAAAGGGGCAAATGAGAAAAAGATGTTTTCACTTACTTGATCTTCAAAACACTTCCACAGTGGACATAGATGCTAATACTTATAGTCCAAGAGAAGCATTGATATATGAACGCAAGTCATGACTATGTGATGACTTAATATGGAAAAAGCCTAGGTGATGAGGCATTATATTATTGTGAAACCCATAAGAAACTCCTGTCAGTGATAAAATCTAGAATAATATCATTACAGAACATAAGATTTATAAAGAATCTTAAGAAATTACCTAGCCTGGCCCTTTCCTCCATAGCAATACCTACAATACCTACAAAAATACGTTCAGTAGATCATTTTCGCTACTGTTATGTGGCAGAAAATTCATGCTCAGGACAAGCCATATATAACCTGTCATAACTACAACAAAAAGTATTTCCTACTGCATTTGAAACACAGCCATCAAAAATCAGACTGGAAATGTAGTGACAAGTTTTCCAGGTTTCTCAGCAGCAAAAGACATTTTCTGTTGCTCAATTAAAGGTAGTTTAAGAAAAAAATCTGTTAGAGGAGAACATCACTGGAGGCAAGTAGGGGGCTAAGAACAGTCTAGGCTATCAACGTGAAAATGTCCTGATAACAAAGCATACAGTGAAAAGTTAAGTTTATATAACTTGCAGTTTGAAAATTCTTTCTTATCTCTTCATTGATCATGCATTGTATAAGGTGCCACTTGTTACATGAAGATTAGAGCCAAAGAACGGTGTGTTGTGATGCGCATTAGAAGAAATTTATGAAAGCTGTTTGGCTTAGCATCTTCCTTCAGAATAAATATAAGAAGGGCAATAAGGTTTTTACAGAATAAAGCAGGTGAGCCATTAGGAGCTGTATATGCTGACAAAAAAATGTGGAGCTAAGTGATCAAAGAGATTTCAGTAGCAGCTGAATAGTATATCATAGAGCTGTGTCTCTGAAAGAGAAGCAGTAGCTGAAATATTTGGTATTCAGAAAATATCCAGAGGTAACATTAGACACTTTCACAGAAATTGGAAGCCATAGAGCAAAGCAGGGAAGCAATAGGGATTTGGAAGGCAGCTGGGAGGGAGATGACTGGAGCTATGTGGAAGTTGGGAATGTTGAGGGCAATTTGGGAGCAGTGGGTAGCCAAGATCATGAAGAACAAGCTAAGTTATTGGATGGTAGGAGCAACCATAGGGGTCTTACGACAAAACTTTATGCTTTCTCAGTAGCATTATTCATTTAACAACTTTTTATGTTTTTATACTTGCAGGATAGAATAAACTTTGGAAAAAACAGATCAGCATTTGAAGACAATAGAATCACAGGTCTCAAAATGCAGAGATAATATGTTTGGACAGATGTGACTGTAATGATGTCAGCTGCTGCTATTCCATATCAAGGCCTCCAATATTTGATGTTTATTCTTCAAGCCAAAGCCCTTGGAGACAAGTGATTAGAGGCAAATATTAGCTCTCTTTTTTTTAAGGGAGATTCGGAGAAAATCTTGAAATCATGACCCAAATGTACAGTTAAAAATACACAACAACAAATAAAAATAACCTGGAACTGTTTATTTTAAATCTCAGATTTTTCATTATCAACTCTTTTGAGACCAGTGCCATGATTTGCTAACATTTGACAATTAAACGCTGTAACTGAGGGCAGAAATTGGTCGAGTCTCTTCCAAATTACAACTGTGAAGGAATGAAATAGCTTGATATTCAGATTATATTTTTGGAGACCCAACAGGGAACTTGTCAGTTCTTTTAAACAGATGTTTGGTTTTTTTTTTTTTTCCCTCAACAGATATTCCCCCATAAAGATATTTTGTAATTTGGAAGAAAAAAAAAAGTGGTCAGAAGTCATTGTGATACAAAAACTACAGAAGCCCTGGGTTACTTTGAGTGACTTTTTTCATGGTGTAACAATTTTTAGTATAAGAACTGTAAGGAGAATCATAGAGTGAGCTATATGGTAAGACTTGCAAAACTGTGCACTGCAGTGAAATCAAGATGGGCGAAAGTTTTTTAGTTTTATGTAAATCGGAGTCTCTTGGAAGTCTGATTTCTGCTTCTGATAATTTAAAGTCTCTTTTTTTTTCCTTTGTTCTTGTATCTTTGCTGGAAGGGCTTTCTGGTGCTGGAGCAGAATTACATATGCTTTCTTAGGTCCAGCTGACTAGTAATTGTTGCAGTCGTTGTCCTGGTTAAACTGACCAATACACTTACTGACAGCTAGTTACCAGGAAACAGCATTGTCTTGTTCTTTGCTGATTACTACATCCTACATCAAGCAAGACCATTTCTACCCACAAAGTGAGGATAAAAGGAAGAAAGCAATTTCCTTTGAAAGTTTGGCTTTCTGCTGTTAGGCAGGTAGTTCCCTTATTGTTCTCAAAAAAGAGGGGAAATAATGATTTTTATTTTTTTATTTTTTCCTCTAGAAAAGTGCAAAGCTTCAAGTGGTGATGACACAAACTTCTGAGTTCTGGTCCACTATTTTAGTCTATCACAATGAAAGGAAAGATAATTGTACTCTGCATGTCAATCAGCACTATTTCTTTTGTATGTCAGCCTCCACAACTGGTTTTAATGACTGTAGTTTCTATATTGTGGCTACAGGATAAACACCAATTAGCTGTTGGGCACAAAAGTCTTAGTGGGCTGAAAAGAATTGTCTGGGTATCCTGCTAAGCCAGCAAATAGAGGAATATATACGAAACAGCATGTAAGGAAAATAGTTTTAACTAGATACCTTTGGAAAAAAAAGAGAACAGGTCAAGACATTCTCACCAAGTGAGCTAGTTCATTGTAGTGTACAGTGCTGCCAGACACGTGAGAAAAAAAAAAAACAACAAAAAAACAAACAAACCAACTCTTGGCAGCCCAAGTTGTTTTCTTGTCTTCTGTAGACCATTTCAAAAAGTGCTGGTGTTTTGAGTCTACAGCAAAGTATGATTTTCCTTTCTTACATTATTGTGAAGTTAAATTATCCTTTTTTGTCTAGCACTGCTTTTAGTTCTGATAAACCTGAGCTCATATCTGCAAGTTTTATTTTTCAGAGATTTGAAACCTGCAGTCTTAATGGAAGCTGAGATCTCTTGTCACAGAAGCTAAAGATTTTAGAATAACCAATATTAAAAATTACAACAAAATCAGGACAGCTGGCAAAATCTGCAGTTGCAAGTAACTCAGAACAAAATGTACCCTCCAGAATTCGTTGCTGAAGAAGAGGCATGAACCAGAAGAAACACAGGCTTGATTTTCAGATGCTATTACAAGCTTACAGTGCCGACAGTTAAACCCATTTATTTTTAATTACATAAGGAGAAAATACAAAGAGGCCAAAAGGATGAGTGGACCATAACACAGTCCTCATATGTTGAGGTATTGGCAGTGTATCTAACACTGGATTAGATTCTGAAATTATGCTGTGGTAAATCACAATACTTATTGTTCCCATTCCTGTCCATAAGTGGTGTCCCCTCTTTGTATTGCTTTGGCAATGAGGCAGAACTTATCAAGAAGTGTCCGCGATTCGGCTGGATGGCTTAGACCATGGAGAATGGGAATGCTGGCAACCCAAACTATTACCCCTAACTCCCCATCCCAAAGTATTTATTACTCAGCTGTTGATTAAAACACTCATCTTGGGACATATACTTCTTCATTTTGGATTATTATTTTTGATGGAGAAACTTCCTTACTGGGAAAAAAAAATATAATTTCTTTGCAGAAATTAGATTTCACTGAAAATCCAGTATCCAGGTGAAAAATTACTTTGATAGCAAACTTTTTGACCAGCTCTAAAGCTGTCTGTAGAGGTGAACCATGCAGTGCTGGGGTTTATCTTGTTGTGAATTATCCCACTGATAGAACATTATTAAATGTATGCTCGAGACCCTGCTCTTCAAAACAAAGGTTTCCTTAAGGTGGGAAAACTGAGGTGGTTCTAAAGCCATTTATCCAACGATATTTATTTATTTTTATACATACGAGCTAAAATTACTTCAGCTGAAACCGAAGACCTTTTTGTCTTTATTCAGTTTTCTGATAGTGAAGCACATGAGCCTATTTCTAAGCAACAATCGGGAAAAACAAACATGTTAATGGGAAGTGAATGGTGTATCTATAGAATCGGCTGCAGGTTATTCAAGGACAGCTCTGGTGGCTAAAACTAGGGAGATCTCTATCTAACTCGACACATACCTGAGTTACTTTGAAACCACAGCTGTGTTTGGCGAATGTTTTTTGAGGTGACAGTACCACCCGAGCCGTCCATTCCCAAGTGCTCAGGTGGCCGGACCCCCGTTTAAGATCTTCCGTTCGTCCCCCTACTCAAAGTACGAAAGAGGAGTGGAGGCAGAGCTCTGCCCGCCTGAGGTAAACCCCAGCCTAACCCTGCGGGCGAGGCAGGACGGCAGCTCGCTGCCTGGGAAGGGGCCTCGGCGAGGAGGAGGAGGAGGAGGAGGAGGAGGAGGAGGAGGAGGAGGGCGCGGCCGAGCACCGCCCCGCCACCGGCTAACGGCCCCCCTCAGGCCAACGGCCCCCCTCAGGCTAACGGCCGCCGGCTAACGGCCGCCACCTGCGCCCCCGGCTCGCCCCGCCCCCGGCCCCTCCCCGCTCCGGGCGGCGGGGCGGGGGCGGGCCCGTGCCGCCGGTTATTTGATCCCGCGCCGTGGCCCCCGCACCCTCCGTCGCCCTCGCCGCAGCGCGCCCCCCCCCCCCGCCCCCCTCCCCTCCCCAACCCCGCGCTGTTCCTACCCGCGCCCCCCCCCCCACCCCCGCCATGCCGAACATCGTGCTGTTCAGCGGCAGCTCCCACCACGACCTGTCCCAGCGGGTGGCGGACCGCCTGGGGCTGGAGCTGGGCAAGGTGGTCACCAAGAAGTTCAGCAACCAGGAGACCAGGTGCGTGGGGAAGGGCGGGGCGGGGCGGGCTGCTGCGCTCTTTCCCCTCCACCCCCCGCCCCGTCCCGTTCCCGGCCAGCCCCCCGCCCGCCGCCGGCAGAAGGGGCCTTGCGGAGCGCTCGCTTGGGCTGAGCCAGCCCGGGAGCCCTCCCGCCGGCGCCTCCCTCGGCCCCCGGCCGGGCGAAGCGCGTCCCCCCTGCGGGCTGAGGGTGCTGGTTGCCGCCGGCAGCGCCGGCATCATCCCACCGCTCGCAGAGAGCTAATCCAGGGGTTGGTCAGCTCGATCAATCACCTTGCTGTGGTGATTTACCCTGTGTCGCGCGGCCTTGTGAGCGGGTCCGTATGTGAGGCGTAGAAGAACAAGGTGGTGATGAGGGATTAGATGCTTGAAAAAGAGCCCGGGTCAAACTGCGCTTCAGAATGCCTTGTGCATGGTCTTGTCTTTGCATCAGTTCCCAGCTGTGCGTGTGGCGGACCAGTTACAGCCCCTTTATGGCCCCTCTCCTTATTCTGAGACGATTGGCACTGCATGAGGGTAATACGGTCGTTACCATGGCCTTGGTTTCCTACTGAAAATGCTGGTGTGTTAGGTTCCTGGCCAGACAAATGTGGAAAGTGACCCAGATAATGGTTCAAAAAATCCTGCATCAAATCGTGGGGACAGCTTGCTTACCTTGACCCTCTGAGAAAATGCTTGCCAGTGCCTTTTCTACCAATATTGTCTCTCTTTACTAGTTTGTCATCTTAGCTTCCTGGTCCACCTATTTTATTTATTTATTTTTAGTGAAAAATTTTAAATTGAGGTGACAGCTCTGTGCTCATCCCATGAGCTGCTAAGGCTGTGCAGCTGCTTTTCTGTAAAGGTGTATTAGACTCAGCTGCCAGCTGCTTCTGATAACACAAGTTCCTGACTGGAAGTAGCTGGCTAGTCTCTGAGGTTATTGTATGTTTATTTTTGTCTGTTCTTGTTCTGAATCTCCTGAACAAGCGTGTTTTCATTGCTTCCTTTGAAAGATTAACATGGTGTATTCTAAAATTGCTCTCACAAAGCTTGCCCTTCTATTCTGTCTACATTTTTGCATTCTCAGTTTAATTGCTCTTGCTCTAGTTATGCTCACTGGCATTACTATAAACCCTCTTCCATTGGTGTTTATGCAACCTCGTGTTTGCACACTCTAATTCTTCTATTCATCCCTGATTAAATGAAGATTTAAATCTTCTCTCAAGTCTTTCCAGCCCCATACTCATTTTATTGCTCTTTGATCTCTTTTCTGCATGATAAAACGTAATTTGTGTATTTTGTTGCATGACTTTCTTGCTAACTTACATCTAATTTTTTAATGTTTGTTTTCCAAAGACACATATCTTTACTTCTGCTCTTTTCTATGTTTTAAGCAGGGATTAATTGATTTAGATTTCATCCAAGGTAGAACTTTATCTCCAAAGTTTGCATATTTATTTTATGAGGTAAGTTAATTAAATTCTAGGCTTCAGGATACAATAATCTATAGTCTATCATTCCACCTGTTTTTCCAGGTGTGCAATATTGGCCTCTGCCATTAAACAAGTAAGTACTGGTGACTGCAGCATGTCAGTGGTTTGGATAAACTAGTAGTGTCAGTTTATTTCCTTAGTTAAGTTAGGGATGTAGTGTGCTATAGACACGAGGAATGTATCTAATCTTAAACATTATTTCTGGTTGCTTCTGTTGCAACACTGCAAGGCTGATACTGTCTTTTTCTTTCTTTTTTCCTGAATTTCAAATACCTTGGCACTTTAATCCTTATGTGTTTGGTTTTGTTTTGTTTCGTTACGACTTCATACTTTTGAGATTCTAAAATGAAACTCTTGTTTCCCCTTGAGCAAGTACAGGTGTACCCACTATATAATGTTGTAAGTGGATAATCTTTTCAGTATGCTTAGCAACTTATTTCAGGATGTTCACCTTCCGGTTTTGTAGACCGATGTTCTCAAAAACAGCAATAATAAGAACAATAGTAGAATTCCTCAACAATGTATTTGAAATTAAACTATAGCTAAAGTTGATATTTATGCTGCAGTGGTCCTTTCCTGAGGCATATGGATTTTCAGTATGACTGTATAGCAAAGTTTCTTTGTGTGTGTGTATGTAAGAAAAAATGTATTTCTTCCTCTATAAAGATAAACCAGCACAGTCTTTTTTTTTTTTTTTTGTTGAGTTTTTAAATTTATAAACAAGTATATTGGCATTACAAACTACATTTGCAGTATTGCAGAATACTAGAACCTGATAGTTACAATACTCAACCTTAAACTTTCCCAATGGCACTGGGGCAAACCACTGTGCAAACAGATAAGCCTGGGCCTGTGGGTCAACAAACTCTTCTTTTGTCAGATCTGTTAAGTTAGCAAGTTGCAGAGAAGATTCACCTTTTGTTAAAAACTGTTTTGCTGTTTGCTTCATTCTTTTAACTGTAAATTATGTGTAAATTGATAAATGTGTGCAGCCCCAGGCTTAAATTGTTGTCAAAGGGTCCTATCTGGAAACCCTTTCCTTGAGAACTGCAGTTAGTCTGGCTTGCAAAACATAGTGGAGGGAAGAAATATTAAATATTTTGCATAATATTTCAGCTCAAACAGGCTTTAGGTCTCATCCCCAATCCTTAGCAGATGTAAGTAGGTTTGAGGAACTAAAGCTGCATAACCTCTGCTTAGCCAGGGATGGGACCGCCACTGACAAGCACTGTGGCTAAATGGGCATATATGTTCCCAACTTCAGCACATTTAAAATGGGAAAGGCTTCACTTTTTAATTTAGACTGAGACTAGGATGTCTAACAATATCTCAGTTCTCTTCTAATTTAGGTATTTAGTATTCTTGCAGGTCTGTAACTGAAAATGTAATGTCTGTGCTAGAGGAAGTGAGGAAAATTGCTGATAGACTGGACCACCACCCCATTTTTTTTTTTCTTCCTTTCATCTAAACTGTATGGAGATGCTTTTGTCTGACTGCCAAGGTCAAGCGACCCTAACTAAAGCAGCGAGAGAGCTCTTCTATAATATCTGGTTGTGGAAGATAACTGTTTAGTATTCAAAGCTTGCATGTCAATCAAGTGCCAGCTACAGTAGGAGTTTGGGTGACACCACCTTCTCACTTATCTGGCAAAATATTAGGGCTGCAGTGAGGGCTCAGTCAGTTTATCTTCTTCAAACCCCACAAGCAACTTCATCAGCAGAGTTTGGCAGGTTAGAGAAAAAATAAAGAAATGGAAGTCCTTAAACAGACATGGCTGTTGTAGCCTGATCATCATGTAACTGTCAGACATGTAACAGAAGTACACAGATACTAAACATGCTGAAGTTTTTTTGCAAAATTGTCTCTCAATACACCAAGATGGCATTTAATTATAGTTGATCCACTATTAAATCCCAGTGCAGGTATTTTTGGCAAGTCAGCTGCTAAAAAAAATACTGTTGAATGTACATCTTAACATATATTACAAGAAAATATATTTAATTATGTTTGCTTCTCTAAAGATTACTTATTTTAACTCTGTCCTTGAAATACTCAGAATGGAGAAACTGGTGACATAGATGGCATCCACTTGCACACATCTCTCCCAGCGGAAGAAGTTGGTGCTTCCACCCACCCCTGTGTTCTTCCTTCCTTATTCCTGCCAGATTCATTGGCTGAAGTGAGTCGTCTTGTAGCTCTTAACAGATCCATGAAGGAAATTGAAGTCCTGCCTGACACATGGGAATTTGGGGGCTGCCTACCTGCAGCCTTATTTAGCTGCTGAAGCTGGCTTGTTTCAGTAACATTGACTTAAGTGTATGCTGTTTAGCTTTTGCAGAGGAAAATAGAGGTTGACTACCAAGAAACATTGTCTGATGTATGGTAAAAGCTGTGTTGTTGATATGAGGACCATGTGTTTGTAAGTAAATAAGTAAAACTGGTATCTTGAACTGAAATTTAATCTTGGAAGGTAGGAAGAAATAGCTGATGTTTTCTTGGAGAATTCTTACAAGGATGGATTTGAGTCTACTTTGCACAAAGTCAGGTAATGAAGAGAGTTTGTTCTAGGAAGTAAATAACTGAAAAAAGCAGGAACAAACCTGGAAACTTTTATATCTAAGCTGTATATCTGAGATGCACAATTTAGTGCTGGGCTTTAACATTTCCCCTCATCTCCCCTTCAGCATCCTCCAACTCTCCTACTGCAGTTATCTTAGATGAGATGTGACCTTGCTACATCCCCTCTACCCCAGTTCCGTTGGGTTCAGCTGCTGTGGGGGCCATGAGCTGTATCACCCTCACTAGGTAGATGGTTAAGGTGCTTGCAGGCACCTAATTGTGGAGTAAGCAAGCTCAGGTCATAAACTGATGTTAAATTAGTTGAAGGCAGTAGAGATTAGGGACATACTGGGATGTGAAGTGTCTCTTCATACAGCCCAGCTGCTGGGTGAATGATTTGCAACCAGGGTTGTGCTCTGCCTGTGGCAGCAGAGATGTCTGTCTCTCTCACTCCCTGCTCGTTTACACTGTTGTGAGCAAGGGGAGGCTTTTACCAGCTTGGTTGAATAAGATAAAAATTGCTTCTGAACTGCACGTTGTACGTGTTTTGTTTATATAGGAAATTGAAGATGCAGCAAATATGGCCATTTATCACATTGTTCATGGCTCTGAATCAAAAAAGGCCCAAAAATGCGTCAAAGGTTTTGGTTTGAGACTTCTACTTTATTGATCTTGCTGTATACAATGTACTTTTTGTCTTTAAGTAGATGCTAAATGTTTTAAGTTTAAAACCAAAAAACTACCTGTCTGAATAATGGCTGACGATCTCACGTGTCCTTAGCTGCAGAGTTTGGTACTCAGCCTTTGAAGACTCTGCACATGCTCAGGCTTGTTAGACCTTTGTTTCCAAACTTCTGAGAGTTCCTTTTGGACTGCACATGGCTCAACTCAGAGCTGCTCAAGTGAAGGTGTTTTCCTCTTGCGGCGGCAGGCAGTGTGCCAGAGCATATGGTAAGAAGATACTTCCCGTCTTGTGGTGTTTACCATGCCAGTGCCCACCCTTAGGTTGGGGCAGTTGTCAATGAAGATCTAGTTGGTGGTTGGTCTTGGAGCTATTAATTAAAGTGGAAGAGCCTGGTGTTGAGAGGAGACCATGGGTGCCAGGAGATATGGGATACATATAGGTTTAAAACCAACTCTGGTGGTTTTCTTGTTTGTTTGTTGCTTTGGGCTTTGCTTTTACCTACTTTGTTCTATAACATCATGGCAGACGAAATACTTGCCCAATAAGTTGGAGGTCTTCCATTAAAAGACTTTACTCTGCAAAACGTACTCTCAAAGGTAAGAGGTCAAACACACCCCTCTGCTTAGTGCTTTCCATTGGCTGGGTTTCAATGAATTGCAAATTCAGCATGTGGATTTTTTTGATCACTTCTGGGATATTGATTCTTTTTGCACACTGTATGAGGACTTTAGACCTTAAATTTTGGCCTCTTCTCTTGTTATCAAAAGTGCCTGAAGTATACATCTACTTTATTGACTTCTAAATTGCTGGAGAAATCTTACAACTTGTAAGCATGGCTAGAAACTTAGTCTCTTGTAATTACTTAAAAAGGTTCATAGTGCCCTTTTAGTTGCATGATTTGAACAGGATCCTAGTTATGAATTTACATTATTTGCCACTTTAGTCTAGCTCTGCATTCTTATTCCCCTCCTTCCCCACAACTATTTTTTTTTTTGTTAGTATGTACAAATTTAAAACTCCCAATGCTATAAGTTCTGTTGCAAGTATACTATAAATCTTTCTCAGTTCAGCCTGCTGTTACTCCTGATTTTGAGTTTTGCCTGCTGGATGCTTCAGCCATTGAAATATGTTTGTAATGTAGGTTGTTTTTTGAGCCTTATCCTTAATTCATGGTAAATATCCTATCCACCTTTCTACTTAAATTGAACTTTCAAATCAGCCTTTGCAAGTTGAAGGCAAATACCAACACTCAAATTTATCTTTCATCATGTCCTGTTTTATGTGTATCCCAGCTAGAGCCTTGTGCTTGTAGATTCCAAACAACTTGCCCAAGGTTACTTTTGTGGGCTATTAATTTCTTCAGTTTTTACTTTAAAACACAATTATGTGGTGTCAGGGTTTTTAATGTACAGGTTCTGTTGACTCTTCTTGAATGAGAAGTTTATTTAAACTGTTACCAAATAGCTGAATTTGATTAAATTGCATAAAACAAACAGAGCCGGTAATCTTGAGGCAAGAGCTTGTTCTTGTGTCCTTCCTCTGTGTTCTCTCTATGTGAAATTGTTTAAATAACCCCCTAACAGTTAATTAGGTCATGATATAGAGGGTCTACCTGGGATTTAGTAACAATGTTGATAAGGTAACTCACAAAGTTTGACTGCTGTTAGCTTAGTGGTCTTGAATACATATTTGAAGTATGATACTTCAGATATCTGATACTATAGTTTATAGTCTCTTATAGTTTGTCTGTTTATAGCTAAATGTGTAGAAGAAAAAAAAGGAAACAAAACATGCACACAAGAAAAAAAACAAACAAGCCCCAAAGAAACAAAAAACCCCAAACTGCCATACCACACCACTTCCCCATCCTCTCTTCCCCCAGAAAAACAAATCACCACAAAAAAAAAAAAAAAACAAAAAAACAAAAAAAAAAACCCAAAAACAAAAAACAAACAAACAAACAAAAAAAAAAAAAAAAAAAACAAAACAAAAAAAAAAAAACACACACCCAAAATAACCCAGTGTGGTTAGTACAGGCAATGTCTGATGGAATACTTGCAACACAGTGACTGGTTATCTTTTATTCTGCTACTTAATGAAGGTAAAATAAGCGCCTGTGTATCTGTTGGTTGAGTCTACACAATGCTTCTCAATATCAGTCTTTGCAGAGGCAGACAATAAGAGGTACTGGTCTGTTGCACAGCTGACTGCAGTTGATTGGCAGAAGATCTTTGTGCAATAATTATGTTATGCTAATCTCTGGCACATTTAGCTGGGTTACTCCTGAGTGCTATGCAAGTATTAATTTAAGCTTTAGTTTAGTTTATTTTAGTCTGTACATAACTTCTGTGTCCACTAGAAAAGGCATTTCTATATACATATACACTTACATTGATGCTTCTGTGTGCCAAATAAGTATGTCATTATGGTCCGAAAAACATAACCAAAAATTTTTCAATTGCACTAAGAGAGAGAAAGTAGCATTTTCACTTTCTAAGTTGTTTTCAAGATGAAAAAGTTATTGATAGACTAAGGTAATTGAAAAGATAGCAGTTAATGGTGATGGAAGAAGCATTACTTCAGGTCCCTTGTATTAACCAAATCTATATTTATCCCAAAGTATATTCCCTGACCTTCTGAAACCTGTTATTTCTTAGAGGTGTGTATAGAAATTACTGCGCTTTAAAGGAGCGAAACAACTCAGAATGTGGTAATTCAGTATTCTTTGTGTATATAATGAATCATGTATTTTTTTCATTTGGCAAAGCTTTTCCCTGTTGCATAATGTGTCTGTGAAACTAGTGGTTACACTTTTTTTTTTTTCCTAGGTAGTAAAATCTTTTTTTTGCCTTCCTTTGTAGCTCAAATAACATTCCGCCCTGAAAATTGATGATGCTTTCTTAGGTTTTTTTCCTACTTTCTTCTCCTTTGTAATGGCTCCTAGGTTAATTTCCAGAACTGGAGTGTAACTTCACAGCCTTGGGTTGAAAGAGGTGCCATAGAGCTTTTGCATGTGGTTGTCTTTAGACCTATTCCAAAGGTGTGGTATGTGACACTTGTTCTTAATCAGGTCTATGTAAGTGCTGAGTCAAGTGACAATTATGATTTTTCAGAGTCCTCATAATAACTGTGAATCTATAACTGACTGCTGTGTCCATAAGCGAAAGGGTAGATAGTTTACTCAGAGCTGGATTTGTATGTTCAGAAGCAATGACAGTCGTCTTGATTTATTTATTTATTGCTTTTGTTTGTTGCTCTGGGAAGTAGAACTCTGATATTCCAACACCAGAACTGTTTTTAGTAGGGCTTCTGATTAAGCCTGACTGGCTCTTACAATTATGGAATATACTTAGTGTTTTGCTGAATGTATGTTGACTAAAACTTTTTCATCTCCAAAAAGGAAAACAAGCTAAGAAAATATTTTGATCAAGACAGTTTTTTGATCAACAAAATAGGGCTGTTCAGAGAAACTTGGACAGGAAAGTAACAGTTTTATGACCCAAAAACTGTGTCTTGGTGCCATGATGAAAGCCTCCAAAAGGTTTCCAGGATGAACACTGACATATCTGCAGTTGACACTGTCCTTGGCCAACTCAGTCCTTCTGAGATCCTTGTGTTTACTAGATGTTTTGCTCTCTTTTGGCCTTAAGAAATCCTGCTAGTAGCATCCTTGGGCAAAAAATGTATTCAGTTAAGGAGAAAAATTAGGACAGGATCTTTTTAGAGCTTGTTTGGGACTGCAAAGGAGTTGAATAGGAGAGCTGAAAGCATGGACTCGACTATCTTGATGGTAATAAATCAAATGTTTGCATATCATTAAGATGTTTTTAAGCAGTAAATTCCTTTCTGTGTTTTATAGCTGCAGAAAGCTAATGGGTCTTGCACAGCACCCTGGAAGCTGATAAATTTAAGTTGTTCAGACTGTGTTTGACTAGAATGAGCCTCAGTGTTGAAGGTACCCATCAGAGAAATTACTCACATCTGGGCCATTTGGATGGTTTCTAGCTAGAAGCTTTTGCTTATTTGTGTGTTGGTAATGATGCAACCTTTTAAATAAGGGCCTAAGATATTTTAGCATTGAATAATTAAGACTAACTTAGTAGAGCATGGGTTTGAAACATCCAATCACCTCATTATTTAGAAAGTATGTATGTATGTTTTATGTTGTGTATGAATTCAGGGAAGAAATGAAGGTTAGTCTGCTGGTTTTATGTGTAAGTTTTGGAGTAACAGGTGCAAAAAGTTAGTGTGGTTAACAGTAGATTTCTCTTGCTTGGTTCTAGAATGGAAGAAGAATCCATGCTCTACTGATTTGTTTTAATTTTTCTGTTTATTTGTAAACTCCCTTTAGTTTTTGAAATCTGTGGTGTGATCAGTGCCAGAATTCACCTTGAAATCTGTGAAAGAATAAAATAATACAGATACTATCATGTATGTAAGCACAGTTGGAGCAAATAAAACTAACATAACGTGACAGTTGTTGAGTTATGGCGAGCTGTTGGTGAGCAGCCATCTTAGCTTTTATCTAAGATTTTATCTTTTTAAGAAAACACTTGGACATCATAGTGTAAATTTTAACCAGTCTTCTGTTGGGGATTTGGTTTGAGTCTTCTCTCTTCTAAAATGCAGTAGTTTCTCAAATTTACTAACATCTTAATTATCACAGAAAAATAATTACCATTTTTAAGGAGATATTTTGGTGCAGGTTATATTAAATGCTCTAAATTTGGATCTGTTGTTTCTGTACTTACGTACATTTAAATTGTCATCTTATTCTGTGTCCTTGACATATCCCAATATACGAACTAAAAAGAAAATCATTATCAAACTGAATAACAATGTGACCTGCATCAGTATTATAGCCATAATTATATGTTGGTTGGTGCTGACCTTAAAAAGACCATATTTAGGCTGAAGCAAATTTTAGACTGACTTATAGATTTTTTTTTTTTTTTTTTTATCAAGGGGACCGTTAACAAAATTGCTGAAAAAAATATCATCTTACCTAAATGGGTATAAACCTATGAAGGCTTATTAAAACTTGTTTTTTTTCTGTTCTTTAATAATGCTTTTCCAGTAATTCAAGTGTTTAAATGGTCATGTCTTGCTCTTTCAGTGTAGAGATTGGGGAAAGTGTGAGAGGAGAAGATGTATATATCATCCAGAGTGGCTGTGGAGAAATAAATGACAACTTGATGGAACTGCTCATCATGATCAATGCTTGCAAGATTGCATCATCCTCCAGAGTGACTGCTGTAATTCCGTGTTTTCCATATGCCAGGCAAGATAAGAAAGACAAGGTAGGTAAGAACTAATATTGGAAGACTTTTTTCAGTTTGTTCACTTGACATTTTTGGAGAGAAAACATACTTTTCTAAACACTTAAGTGATTTGAAGGATTTGCTTTTTTGCATCCTTTTTTAGTAAAACATTCCATTATATCATCTATGGGTGAATGAAGTGAAACAATTATTTTTTGCTTGTGTTTTGATAATTGACACACATTCAGCTTGAAAAAGTAGGCACATCCTATGTGTGTGGTATATTGCAGAGTACTCTGTTAGCAAACCTCACCTTATGGGACTGTTTTTCCTGCTTTTTCTAGCTGCCTTTTTTTTTCCCCTTCTTCATATAGTTGGGTTTTACCCTATATGATTAAACAGAGAGCCAAATGGGAGGAACTGATTAAATCTGCAATGCATAACAGTAATTAATAAAACCATTATTTTATTCTGCAAGGCAGATGAAAGGAGTTTTTATATCTGTAATATTAATTTTTACTGATGCAGACAAATAATTTTGTGGAAACTCCATAAATACTCTTCTGATCTTAGTGCCATTTTCTGCCATAAGTGATGAACATACCAGTTCATCCAGGTTGATAACACAGTAACAAACTCTGTGGCAGTTGAATTTGAGATTAAAAAGCACAGAACTAAGCTTTCCTGTCTTTACTATAGATACAAAAGTACTCATAATATGTTACATGGATGTTATTGTTACCTAAATTTACTTGAAAAGAACTAACAAGCATAAATTAATTTGGTTTATAAGATTGGATTGCAGTGGTTGTCTTTTTGGAAAATTGCTCCTCTCCAATTCTTCCCATAAATGGACTGCCCCGTCCCTTTCACTTTTGGCATCAAGCAAGCCGTGGTGAAAGCCTTCTGTTCTTTACATTCTTTTATATAAAACATAACAGGACTGAGAAGTAATGCAGAAGCTAAAAATAATAGCAGATACAGCAAAATATGTAATGCTCAGTCTGTGATGTTTAAGAACTACAGAAGAGTTACTTTCTAGTTAGGTGCAAGCTCTCTAACACCATGCTAATATCAAGATCCACTTGTTATACTTCCAAAAATTGAATTCAGGAGTTAGATAGTAGCTCCCTATTCTTTGCCTACATCTTTTGGAACTTTGTTTTTGCTGTTTTGTGTTGAATAATTCTCTGCCTCAATCAGGAAAGCTGAAATACTTTTTATCAAAATAGCTTGAAAGAGAGGTGGTAAACATTTTGTTGAAAGGGAAGGAAAGCATCTCACTATGTTTTGATTTCCAAATTTATATTGGAAGGTTCTGCTGGACCACCCTGTAAGTTCTTGGTATGGGAGAAGGATGAGTATGTCCCAAGTTTTCCACACATCTAGATTATGACTTGTCAAAGGTACTCAAAATCCATGTGGAAGACTTTCAAGAGGCACTTAAGATCCACAGTGTGGTGGCCCAGCATGCCACCCAGGTCTTTTGGAAATGCCATCTGAAGATGGATAGCCTAGGAAAGTGATTTTGCTTAACAGAGACTTTGAGCATTGTTCCAGAGTGTTCTCTGGATGTCACTGAGTTCTGCAATTCTAGGCAAGCCATTTTTTTTTCCTTTTTTTTAGCCTCTGTTTTGCAATTGAGAAAATGTTTGCTGTCTTTGGAAATTAACCTTGGTAGTTGACCTCCATGTTGCAAAATAAGCTATAATATAGCTGTCAACATTGGGCAGCTTATTGACAGGGAGATCTTTCCTCCTGATGTTGGATTGCATCACATCACTTGGTCTTTGACCCATGTTGAGTGCACAATCTTTGTGTGCTGACTGAAGTGTCAGTAAAATGCCAGCCATTTTCTTCCTATTATACACAGATTTTTCTCTCTGAAAGATACTGCTGTAGTTTGCTTGACTATGAACTGAACCAGTATAATCTTCACTAGTTGGATGCTGTTTTCTGGTTTGAATTGAAGTTGTTGACTTTAATCCATAAAGAACTAAATAGATGGAGGCCTTGCTGCTTGAAATAACGCTGTATTCTTCATGCCTCAGTTGCAGTTATCACTGAGAACAATGGAAGTGCTCTTGATTTATTTAAGGAAAGGGCCTTGAAGTAAAAACACGTTCTGAACAAGGCCTGTATAATCGACTCTGAAAATTTTAGCATTAAACCTGGACTAGCTTTTAATGAGAAACAGAGGTTAAAAAAAAGGCTTGCTGAGAATTGTAGAAAAGTTGGTAAATCAGTTTAAATACAATTAAGCGTTGTCACAAACTAGAATACTTCTGATACACAAGCTAGCTAATTTAAAATTAGCTCAGGTGTATCTGTGCTTTGGCCATACACATTTGTCGGATGCTGCAGAGATGCCTTTGAGAAGTTAGAAGTAGAGTGACAGGTGAGTTTGGTATTCTACAGCTCATGTAACTTTGTTTTTTTGATTTGTAGAAGGGGTCCGTGGAGCGTTGGGTAGGTATCCTTTTTTTTTTTTTAATCTAACGCTACGCATTTCCATTAATATGGCCTTAAGGGGTGAAACCTACTAGGTTACATTATGTATAACTGGGAGCATTTTCAGTTTCACTTCTTGATTTCAGTTGTGTTTCACCTAGGCCATGACAGTAATCCTGTGGACCAATTTTCTGCTAGAAAACTCCTAGTTTCCAGTTCAAAATTTATCTGGACATTCATGATAATGGCTGTCAGTTTCTGAAGCTTGAAAGCACGTCTCACTTTTGAAATGATAAAATTAAGTAATACATTAGCGAACATTCAATATCCATGCACTTCACAACTGGCTTTCTTGGAAGTGAAAGTTCCAGTTATAAATCCTTGTGTTTTCTTGGATTTTTTTTTTGTTCAATATGCATGTGATGCATTTTGAGCAAGATAATATAATAAGATGCTTAAAGACAACAGAGCTTTAATCTCGATGGACAACTTTTACTTTCAGCTATGTGTCCTTTGCATAGTTACTCTTGTGAGGTTTTTTATATTAGCTTTGTGGATTCCCCTTGCCCCTGGGAATTTTAAGTATTGTGAAAAAATTTATAATGCATCATAAAGGAAGAAATCATATAACTTAGTGTACGTAAGTGGGGGATTAGTTTAGGAACTAAACTGGGTGATTTTTTACAATTTAGTTTCTGTACATAATGTAATGTTGTGTTTCACACTAATAATTCTGAAATTAATCTCAAATTGTGTCAACAAATGGAACAATGAATACTATGAATCTTTGTTCTTGCCTCTTTGATCAGAAGCAAAGCTTACAAACCCCAAGATAAAGAAAACCTTGAGTTCTGATCAACCTTTGTCATCCAAGTTTCTGAATAATGAGGCCAGGTTATCTGAGGTTCCCATGAATATACTTCCTTTGATTTTAAAATAATCTTCAATTTGGATCGTATTGTAGCACAAAACTTACTTTCTATGCAAGCAATCAAAACCTAAATCCTTTTGAACATGTTATGTATGTTTTCTTTTAATGCACAATTTTGTGTAAAGGAAACTGTCAGCTAGCTGCAAACTTCGTTTGTCTTAATCTCCTGTTAGCCCATTCTTAAGAAACAGGTATTGGTGTCTGGCTATCTTTCCTTCCAAGACCCTCTGTCCACCAACACGTAGGCAATCTGTGATGTGTGCATGTCTGCTAAAACAAGTTACCTAGTGGTAAAATCTTCAAGTTCTTCCTTCTGGGAAGGCAGTCTGCAAGGCCAGCAGCTGAAAGAAGTACCAACTGGTAACGTATACGTTAGTATTTGATGCAGGAAAGTATTTTTGGTTTTGTTTTGTGTTTTTTCTGGTTTTTTTTTTTGGTGATGGTGATACTCATGATATTGTTACATGAGACAAGTTAAGTGGTATACACATTGAACAGAAATGGAAAAAAGTGAAAGAAAAATTTAGTATGCCAGATGGAGTGGAAATGGCAAACTATTTTCTGGGAAGAATGTAATTTGCCTTTAGCAGCTAGCCTGAACTAGTTGCTTGTTTCTACCAGAGAGGGATAGTCCTGGTTTACCATCTTTTCCCTTCTCTTCCATTTGAGCTGCTTCATCTGGCTGTTGTGGGTCCAGGGGAGAAAGCTTCTGGTTTCAGCATGGCTTGTTAGTCCAGTTTAGCTGTGGCATCAAACAAGATCTTTGTAAAGAGTTGATAGGAGAACATTGTGGTAGAGTCAAAAGAGTAGAAACTAAATCTTTGTTTTATTAGGTGTTGTCAGATTTCAGAACATTCTGAAGCCCAGCTTAAGGATGTTAGTTTGTACTGCTAAAATGAGCTGAAGTGATCAGGAATTAGAATGGCATGAACCAAAAGTTTACTACTAGTAATAGAAGTAACCAGAAAGCTTAGGCTGACTTGAACCTTACAGAACTGAACTTAAATGAGGAGCAACATAGTCCTCAGTAACTGGAAAATCATCAGTGCTAATAACAAACTCTCATGGAAGCTATATACATCTCAGTTGCAGAGATGTAGGCAAGTGCTAGATGTTGCATATATTTTCTATCTTACCAATATCAAATGGTGGTGATGCTCTGTGAAACACAAAACCCAGAAGGAATGGTTTCAAAATTAAGAATTTCTGTAATTATGGTAATAAACTTGATCCAGCCATAAGAAAGACTGCAATATCTGTTTATTTTCTGGAAGTATGTCATCAATCTGCAGGTTAAAACAGATAAATACCGTTTCCACCTAAATTAGCAAAAGTTTTGGGGAAAATACTAGCTCCTTGATGTGACACAGACAGGGAAGCATCCAGGTTAAATTAGCAGTGGTTCAGCTTATTTTAGGTTATACCCTTGAGCATCAGTGGAAGGAAAGCAGAAATACTCTAATTGTGTGTGTGGGATGGATGGAAAAGGGGTTCTTAGGAGGCTAAATGAGGCTGGCTGATAGAGGTATAGTAGGAGAATACTGTGCCAGCAAAACCCAGAGTCTGTCAGTGAGATGGAACCTCTGAATTGCAGTTCTGCCTTCACGCTAATGTTATTGCCAGCCATTAGCCTTAAAGATTGACAGGAAGAAGACAGAAGGTTTTGTTTAGTATTTGTTAGAGAAAGCTGTCTAGGGTGACATAGCTTTTTTCAGAGTTTAAAAAGAATCTGAAAAAACTTTGCAGTTGCTCAAAGTGAGGTACCCAACAGTGATGATTTTCCATCTTTTTTGTTCTGCGTCGTCATCACTTTTAAAGTTCTTGACATTGGTATTAACTTTGCTAATTAGCTTTTTGCTTTTCTTTTGTTCTTTCCACTTCTCAAAGCTGTGGTTTTTTTATCCCTCCTGTCCCTTTTGGGAATTCTAGACTCCTAATTGCATCCAATAATTAAGCCTGAATTGGCAAAAAAGAATATATAAATAGGTCAGGGTAGAAAACCCCTACTAACATGGACCTGTTAAAAGCTTTACTGTATCATGAAGAAATGCTCGATACTTTGTTATAAAGCAGTGTTTTCAAAAGTTGGGTTCTCTGTGCCTTCAGTCTTCATTTTTGGTGATGTTTCTTATAATGGGATGATTGCTTAAGTCGAATGTTAATGTAGCATAGTGACTTAGAGAAATGGAGATTGTCTTTCTGCTATAGAAAATCTAACTGAAAGTTTTAAATAAAAGAATTGAAAAATTATATCCCTTATTTTATCTGCTTGGTAGTCTAATTATTACAAAGCATTATTAGGCAGACTGTGCAAGCTGATTTAGATATTCCTAAATGTTTTGCTGAGTTTCAAAACCCTAGTAGCAAGATTAGCAATTGGCAGGCTAATTTGGCTAAAGTTCTGGAGCTCTTCCCATCTAGATTCCAAATATTCTAAAGGAAAAAAAAAAAAAATCAAAAGAAGCTGATTCTCTGACTCCATGCATCTAGTCAAAATCTTTTAAAAATTGTGCTTTATTCCTCAGAGTCGTGCTCCAATCTCTGCAAAACTTGTTGCCAACATGCTGTCAGTTGCAGGGGCTGACCACATCATCACCATGGACCTGCATGCTTCTCAGATCCAGGTAACTGTCAGTTCTTACTAACTGTGGCTAGGGACTCTACTGAATCAATGTGAAAGGCTAATATTAATTCTTGGGGTTTTTTCCCTCATTGTTTTGAAAGGCTATGTTCAGAAGTATAATTGTGAGGGTTCAGAGAAAGTCTCACTACCTGTTTCTAATTAAATTCCTTTTTGAATGAGACCAGCCTTGATTTTATGTTCTGCAGTCACTTTGAATACTTGTACGTTGGAGTCTTCAGTGGGATTTGCCAAGCTTAGTGTAGGAGTTCCCAGAAGATAAAATGTACTGGTTTGGGGCAAATTCTCTTAATCTTGGCCTGGTCAGAGATTATAGTATTGCCCTAGATAGTTCCTTTGTTACAGCTGAGGGGAAAATATTCTCTTAAGAGAAGTGGGAATGGAGGCTGGCAACCCTTAGTTGGCTTCATGCTGAATCCAGCAAATGAGAAAACTTTTTCCTCAGACACAGAGCAGACATCGTTTGTCATTCTCATGTGTACCTCTTTTCAAGATACCTTGTTTTTTCTAGAAAATACCTTCTCTTCCAGTTCTGGTATTCTGCTTAGTCAGAATTTCCTGTTATGATAGATGGCTGTCATACAAATTAAAAGCACTCTCATTTGTGGTCTAGCATAGATTTCTTGTTGGTACAACTTGCACAAAAAGAAAGATTCCATTTCTGCTCAAGTAATGCTAACTTGAATCTTCCCCATATTGAAATACTACTGTTCATGTCAAGCAGTTAAAATTTATGGAAGTTGAGTATTACTCACTGGATTTTTGAGAGCTTTTCACAAGCATGAATTTACTTGGGTGCCTGAAGATGATCTTTTCTGATTTCCATATCATTTGAGAACAGCTGTTCTTTATTTCACTACTCTTGGGTGAGATTTTGAGACCTTGATATTTGTCTAACTTCTGCTGCATTTGATAGTTATATCACAGGGCAGAATTAGGCCATTGTTAAATAGTAATTAAAGTTCTAACATACATGAAAAGCAAAGGCTTGATTCTTTCCCTGTGTTTTTGTTCCAGGTAAAACATAAACATACATTCATGAAAATCTTTTTCTCTTTCGGACTAGGGTTTCTTTGACATTCCGGTAGATAACCTGTATGCAGAACCTGCAGTGCTGCAGTGGATTAAAGAAAACATTTTGGAGTGGAGAAACTGTATCATAGTCTCACCTGATGCAGGTGGTGCAAAAAGGTACTATACAAGCTGAAAACTTTGTTTTCCATACAGTTAGTGGTTAATGAGCTAGTTTGTCTAGTCTACTTTTCTCCTCTAAGAATTGAGCAAGATACAGGATACATGACTGAATCCATCTGCATGGTAAAAACAGAACAACTAGTTCTTCCAATGTTGTTCATGCTTGAAAACATCAAGGAGCTTTCTATACTCTAAAGAAAATCTTTTTCTTTCTCCCTGGATATGGCCTGATTAGCTGAATCCCTCCATGGGAGGGAAGAAATTTTTCCTGCTGCTTGCTTCTTTAGTCCAGTTGCTGCACTTCTTCCTGCTTCACTCTGGAATTGCCTAAGTTTTCCTTCTCTGTCAGAGCATATGGCCTATCCCCACTGTACCTGCTGGCATTTAGGTAAGAGTTTGGTTGAGTCATGATTTTTTTTTTCTTTAAATTATTGCATTTCAGCTGTAAACCTAGACACGGAGTTATGTGCTGTCAATACTAGAAAAGGAGTGAGGTTTTGTTTTGAATGTCAAAAGGTAAAAATAGAAGAGTTAATTCACTGGTGTCTGTCTTCATTTGCAGCATGTGAATTTACTCATTTAGCAGACTATCTCTTATTTCATATCTATTAAGTATAAACTAATGCAAAAGTTCAGAAGCATACTGGCTGGTGAGGTGATAAAGCATGCTGTTGAGGCCAAATGCTTATTCTCGAGTTTTATTGGTCATGCTGCTGCTACAGAAGTGGGTACAAGGACAAATGAAGTAGGAATCCTGTAAGCCCATAGTTATTTAAATGTTTGGAATGGCGTATGGGGAAAAAATGTGAAAGGCTGTCATAATTCTGTTTTAATTGGAGTGCTTGGGTCTGTGAGTGTTCATGTTCTATTAATAGAACAGGGAAATAAGACTGGTTAGAACTCCATAATTGTTCCTGTTTAGATTAGTCAAGTTAAAGATGTGAAGAATATGGACCATAGAAAGCATTCTAAAGTTTAGATGATTCAGACAATTCAATTTGGTTATTCCTATCTGGATGCTGTTGTTTTCTCAACTGTTTTTAGTGGAGTTTTTTTAAACAAAATACATCTTTTCTATCTTCTGACTCAAATTCTAAGTAATTTTCCCACTACCAAATATTTGTTGATCATAAGAGTTTATTTTTTGAGGACCACTCTCATTGTATTTAACATAGTCTGTCTTCGGTACCTTTCTGTTGTAATGCAACCAAGTAGTTGCTGATGAAGTAGGAGAGGATGTTGCTTTCAGTAAATTCACAGCTTCTCTTTCACCTTCAGTAATGTCATGTAAAGAAAATGGCCTTTCCATTTAAAGCATCTAGATCCTCAAAATAATACTTGAGTTAATGAAGAATTAATAGAATATGAAGAAAGTTTGTCTTAAATCAAATATGTAAGCATTGAAGAAATTTTTAAAAAAAGTGTTCTTGCACTCATTTAAAATATCTGAATTCTTTTTTTGTTTCTTAGTATTTGCTTGGTTTTTTCCAGCCTATTAGATTTTGTGACTGAAGTAAGGCATTGCAAATTCTATTGATATCTTATTGCCTTGGAGATATTGAGATTTGCTATGAAGTTACACTACTGGTCACAAAAAATGACAAAACTTTTGGGGTTTTTGTTTATCACCCAGTTGTTCAAATACAGTAACTAACAACTCCTTAATACTTCAGTGGTAAAGAAACAAAACTGTATTCTCTAACTGTGCATGTTAATAACCTTGTTAACAACGTTCTAAAAAGACAGGCTACAAGGTTGCACCAGCATAGAAAAAGCATAGTATTGTTTATTCCTGTATCTTTATACCTACCAGCTCTGGTATATTGAAAAAGCTGAAAAAGGCAATCTGAAGTCTGTAACAAATTATGTTTGTTATTGGAGGTTTGTCTGGTCCCCAGAGGTCACCCTAAATAATTTCAAAAGATCTTTGTCAAGCAGCTGTACTGCTAAGGGAATTACTAATAAAGTAAGCTACTTGATTACTAGTCAAGTACTGCTGAAAGAATTAATAATCTCTAACTTGTTTGGTTTTTCCTCTTGGTTTGGTTTCACATTCCTGCAACAGTATTTTCAGTTAGGTTGTTAAAGTGCATGCTGCTCTAGGCTTAGAATTGAAGCTACCTCTACCTTAAATTATCTAGTGTGACTAGGTATTGCAGCAGCTTAAAAGATTGTGAATAGCTGAAATGTTTTCAAAGCTAGGCACTTAATGACGAGATAACCAAAGTCAATTTAATTAAAAAATTGTTTTCTGAACTGTAGCTTAAGTATTTATTAGCAGTGAATTAAGATTGTTTCTAACCCGTCTCATTAGTTGCAAAAGTTTGTGCTGTGGTAATTTTAAAGCCAGGGAGAAAACCCAATGTTTTACAACACATACAGATGTATGGCTCTTATTAAAAAAAGTTCTCTAAATGTGGTGTATTTCTTCCTGTAACTTAGGGTTACTTCAATTGCTGACAGACTGAATGTGGAATTTGCTCTCATTCATAAGGAAAGAAAGAAGGCAAATGAAGTGGACAGAATGGTCTTGGTTGGTGATGTGAAAGACAGAGTAGCAATTCTTGTTGATGACATGGCTGACACATGTGGCACAATATGTCATGCAGCAGACAAGTAAGTATTATTATGAACTGGCCCACTCTCTTGCTGTACAGTAACTTGCAGATAGCAGATGAACACAGTTGCTGTGTCCTGCATGCTTATAACCCAACCTGACATCTGTAGCGTGAAGCCACTCTGATCCTTGAGTCTTTAGGTCAGTCCTGTGATCAAGCTGTGTTCTTTAGAAAATGGAATTGAGAAAATATTTACAGAAATGTATTATCTCTAGTTAGAAGCAGGACAGTATAAATAAAGAGTCATATAACTTGGAAGGAACTCAGGCCATCTAGTTCATTTTTCAGTTGAAAAGCACAAATGACAAAATCATTCTCTTCTTAAACATCATCATGGAGCCTTTCCACTCTCCTTAGGCAATCTTTCACAAAGCTTTACTAGATTCAACATTGGAAAGTATTTCCTCTGCAATGTTCAATGCTTGTTTAATATTAATCTTCACTGTTCATCTTCAGATTAAAACTGCTTGTCCTTTTCATCCAGGGAGGTGAGAATAAGTTTTCCTGTCTTATGTCTGCAAGTTAGTTGAACAGTGTTCTCATTGCCCTCTAGAATAAGTAATTTCAGTTTCTTCAGTCTTTCTGCATGGTTTCTAGACTTCTGCTCTGTTGTTGGTGCCCTCTGGATTCTTTCCAGTTGGTCCACTTCTTGAAGTGGAGTCTGTGAATGGAGACCCACTATCTTAACTGAGGCCCTAGCAGTGATAAGTAGAAAGGATTACTTTAGGGATTTCCAGCTGTCTTTATGCTGGTACATTTCAGTGTAGTAGTAGGGTTTTTTCCACAGAAGTTGGCATGATTGTCTGCACTAAACTTTAATATCTGTAGCCTTTAAAAAAAAAAATTGCTGATTCCTGAAATGATTCTTGTTCATTCTGTAGCTTCACAATATGTATGGCAGTCACCCTAGCTTCAAAATAATCTTGACCAATTGAAGAAATGGACTGAAATTTATGAAGAACAAATGTGAAGTATTACAGTTGAGCAAGAATAGACTGAAATGCTCCTGTCTGTTCACTCATATCCAAACATGTGGTACCAGCTTTAGTTTGGGAAGTCAAGGGCTGCAGTCTAAACTTGAGCAGAGTCCTGAGGTTTTAAATCTTCCATTCAAAGATCTTGATACTGTTTCTAGTAAAGCCCACCTAATATGACTGTAAGTAGTTCACTGAGAAGGAACTACTGAGGAGCAAGACACAGGAATGTTTTAAATTGATGTTGCTGAAAATTTACTGTAGCATTGTTACTCTTGAATGTAATCCTTTCTAAAGCTAGTATGTCTTAATTGAAAGTATTTTGAATTTATATTACTGTCGAATATATTTGTAGGCACTATGAGAGTATCAGATAGTCTTGCATCCAAAACGGGGCTGTGTGGTATTTTCTGCCTGACTCTGAATCACAGAATCATTTAGGTTGGAAAGGACCTTAAAGATCAAAGTCTACCCCTTAACCTACAACTGCCAAGTCTTCCACTAAGCCATATCCCTAAAAGCCACCATCTACATGTCTTTTAAACACCTTCAGGGATAGTAACTCAACCACTTCCCTGGACAGCCTGTTCCAATGCTTGACAACCCTTCTGGTGAAGAAACTTTTCACAATATCCAATCTAAACATCCCATGGTACAACTTGAGGCCATTTCTTCTCATCCTATCACTTCTTACTTGGAAGAAGAGATTGACAACCACCTTGCTGCAACCTCATTTCAGATAGCTGTGGAGAGCAATAATGTGTCTCAACCTTCTGTTCTCCTGGCTAAACACCCCCAGTTCCCTCAGCCGCTTCTCATACAAATCGTGTTCTAGACCCTTCACCAGCTTCGTTGCCCTTCTTTAGACATGTTGCAGCACCTCGATGTCTGTTTTATAGTGAGGGGCCCAAACTGAACGTGATATTTGAGGTGCAGCCTCACCAGTGCCAAGTACAGGAGGATGATCGCTTCCCTAGTCCTGCTGGCCACGCTGCTTCTGATGCAAGCCAGGATGCTGTTGGCCACCTTGGCACACTGCTGGCTCATACTCAGCCAGCTGTTGACCAACACCCGTGGGTCCTTTTCCACCTGGCAGCTTTCCAGACACTCTTCCTCAAGCCTGCAGTGTTGAGTGAGATTGTTGTGACTCAAGTGCAGGACCTGGCACTGAGCCTTGTTGAACCTCAACCAATTGACCTTGGCCCACTTGTCCAGCCTGTCCAGATCCCTCTGTAGAGCCTTCCTACCCTCAAGCAGATCAACACTCCTTCCCAACTTGGCACTGTCAACTGCAAACTTACTGAGGGTGCACTTGATCCTGTCATCCAAATTGTTGATAAATATCTTAAACAGAACTGGCCCCAATACTGAGCCCTGGGAAACTCCACCTGTGACTGGCTGCCAACTGGGTTTAACTCCATTCACCACAACAACTTGGGATCAGCCATCCAGCCAGTTTTTTACCTAGTGAAGAGAACACCTGTCCAAGCCATGAGCAGCCAGTTTTCCCAGGAGAATGCTATGGGAAACTCAGAGCAACAAGGTGAAGCTTAAGTGAGCTGGACATTACTGTTAGTGGTTTGAGGTAAAGATCATCTTGTGAGTTCACAGGCTTTCGTTGCAGGCTTGCTGTTTGCAACTAGATAAAAAGGTTGTCAAAAACTTGTGGTAAATGGATTCATATAGTCTTGTGTTTCTTCTTTTCACCTTGTTGGAAATTTGATGGAATTTTAGAAAGAGAAGTGCAGTTGGTGCTATCTGCATACTAATCTGCATCTTGATCCCAAAGCGCACTTTTAGGCTGTGCTGTTTGCAGATCAAAATCACAAATTGCCTAGCCAATGTTTGTGTTTTTTTCTTTTATACTTCTGCACATAAAGGAAGTTAATTGCTGTCAAAAAGGAGGCCTTTATTTTTTTCATGTTATGAAAGAAGCACTTCTTTATGTTCAGTAGATTTCTATAGAGCAAATTCTAAAACTATCAGAAACTTTCAATGTATTTGAAACGTTCACTAAGAAAGATGCTTTTGTTTGAGTGATGTTGCCTTATATCATATTCTTGGCATGAAGTAGTGTTTTTCATTTATGCCAAATCTAGGTGAGAAGTACCTTGTGCTTAGACTTGCCCACCAGAATACTTTCTAGGCCTCTATCTCATCTAGGCCTCTCTCATCAACCTAGATGCATATCAAGCAGATGAACTAAGAAATATATTTTCAGATATAGCAGATCAACTTGTTTAAGTACAAACCTAAGTATATACCCTTGGTGCACACTCACCCTGTTATAGTGCATCTTCCTTATAGGTTGCAGGTATTAAATGTAATGCTGAGAATGACCAGAAAACTTTGATTCTGAGTCATTCAAAATGAGATCTTTCTGTGTGTTTTATCTTCCTATCTTACTGTGCTTATGCTATGATCTGATAAAATCCATTCTTCAGGGCCTCTGTAAGACTAGAAAAGCTGCTAGGACATAGCTGAGCATCTGGAGGCAGAGAAGCCAGTCAAAACTGAATTAAGAGATTCTGACTCATTCACAAAGTGTTCTAGTTCTTTGATTTATACTTTTTTTTTTTTCCTCCTGTGCTGCATCACTTCTCTGTGTGCTTGGATGGACAGCATGTCTTCCCACAACCTTGCAGTAAGCTAGGCTTTTAATCATTAACATTTCTTCTTCATCAGCAACTCTTTCCAAGCAGCAGAACTGTTTGAATTTCAAATGAAAATAAAGGAGGACAATAATGGAGGTGCAAAAGAGTTGTGAATACTGCAATCCAATCCAACCTATTTCATTTTTGACTGATTAAGATAGAAAACTTATACTGGAATTCAGTTGTATGTTTTGCTGATATGGTCAGGACTGCAGCATTTTAGATTAGTATTACTGCTACTGATAAGAAATTTTTAATTAATTAGCAGTTATTTATTATTTTTTTGTGAGACTTCCATATAACCTGAACATTTTAAAATTCTCTGAATTATTTTGTAGATATTTGTCTCTTCCTGTATCTTCCAGGAAGAATTTGTGTGTAAAATATATTTTAGAGATTTGTATCTGGCTTCATCTGTAGCCGTGTATGTAGACATGCATCACAGCATACTTTTCCTTTTTCTACAGGTTAGTATCTGCTGGAGCTACTAAAGTTTATGCTATTCTTACTCATGGCATCTTTTCTGGTCCTGCTATTTCTCGGATTAATAATGCATCGTTTGAGGCCGTTGTGGTAACTAATACAATTCCCCAAGAAGAAAAAATGAAACACTGCCCAAAAATTCAGGTATGGTGATGTGTTTGTCATCTGTTTAAACTCTGTATTTGTGTTTTACTGTTCACTGATGCTCTAATTTGTGCCTTGAGAGGAAAATAATATCCTAAAATACATTGTTTGCAGAACATCTGGCTAAAACATGCCAAAGAACTGTTTTAAGGCGATTCAGACAGTACAATGAAGTACTGCAAAATATATGGATTGAGTATGCCTGATTTGAGAGTGGGAAATGTAAAATTGGCTGGGTGGGGGTTTTTGTTTTTAATCAATATTAATCATACAATATTTGTATGTAGGATCTTATGTTATTGTGGATGCCACAGAAACATTAGATTACTTTTTTTTTGAAAATACACTCATGAAAATGATCAAAATAGAAATGACATGTTTCTTTTCAAAAACCAAACTGAAAATACAAAGCTGACTTATGTCAGTAGCTTTTTACATGAGGTTGTTCTGGGAAGTCATGTGTCTCTCTTGGAGATTTTCCTTAGTACAGAGTGGAGGAAAGCATAAAAGATTTTCTTCATTGCACCATTGTATTTCTAAAAAGCTTAAGTTTTATTTGGTATTTATTGAAACAAGGCGAGCACTTAAATGATATACTTCCCTTTAACTATGTGTGGCAAGTGGACACTGCCATCTGATGGCTAGAATAGTTTCTTTTTGACAACATGCCTTGTGCTGGAAGTCTTCAGCAGTATGTCTCAGCAATTTTATTCAGTGCTTTTTTTACTCAGTTTTTGAGTTTGTACTTTTGTATTAATGCAGTTCTTATATATATATATTAACTACTTAATGATTTAATGTTATTTTAATTCTTAGGTGAGAGCGCACAATGGTAAATGATGTTTGTTTATATAAGTGGTATAGTTTGTTCTTGTCATCTCATAAAATTTATCATCTTGATTTTTTTTTTTTCTTTCAGTTTATTGACATTTCTATGATCCTGGCTGAGGCAATTCGAAGAACACACAATGGTGAATCTGTGTCTTACCTGTTCAGCCATGTCCCCTTGTAACTGCAGATTACATCGCATGTTGCAAAGGTCCTTCATCTAGCACTGTTATTTTTAACAATGCATTTCAACCATAAGAAATTAGTATCATTGTACAATTCCAGAGATTGTATGTTTAATTATTTTATTTGTCTTGTAATTACCATTAGTTCTTTGTAAATGGGCAATGAATCTGTCTTGCAGAAACTTCATGAATTCCCTTGAGAGTCTGGAAGTTTTGAGGGTTGTGTACGTTCACTTTTATGTGCCTGCTTCACTTTCTGCTAAACTGCTGCTTTGGATCTGTTTTTCTCTATAGAACTTCATGGGATGTATGTGTAAGATCACTTTCTGTGTTAAGCTAAATGCTGCAGGCTTTGGTATCTTGTATCTATTCATCTGTCAGGCAAGCAGCTGTTGGGTTTTGTTTTGTTATTTTGAGGAACTTTTGACACATCCATACTATTAACTGTTTCATAAACTTTGTATTCTTTTTTTCCACAAGGTGTCTGCTGTTTTCTTCTGTAAAAATCCCATTACATTAAATAGTTTGCTTAACATCTATTCTGTGCAGTCAGTCTTCAGTTACAAGATTAATGTTTCAGTGTACCTGTGATTCATTTCATGTGTTTCAATAGTAAGAACCAACCTTTAATAATGAGCAGCTTGGTTTAATTTTTTTCCCCATAGTTTTTTACGTTCCTTCATTGTGATCGTATGAATCATTTCATAGCAGTTTTCTTGTGCTTTACTGTGCAGCCAATGAACTATGATAGACTAACTAGTCTCAAGTAATTTAACATTAGAAAAAAAAAATAATTATGAAAACAGTTTTGCCTCTTATGCTGAGAAGGCTTATGGTTAAGTACTGGTAATACAGTCAATAATGGATTCTGGGAGAAAAAAAAAACAAATCTAGTACTGTAATTTTAGGTCTTTGAATCCTTCTATGGAATGTTCTCTATCTTCCTTCTAGAAAGAAAGAGTTTGTGTGTAGTAAGATAGTGTTCCTGCACCTACATCATGGTTTCCTACCTGAAATTGCACTTGTTAATTACAAAAGCATTTACCGTGCTTTAGAGATGCTTCTTTACTGTGGAGCTGCATAAAAAAAATAGCCTTATTTCATCCTACCTTTCTTATTCTGGGATATATTTATAATGGTAAAATGCTGTATTATAAAATGGATTTTCCATTCCATTATAGACAGTCTTCAGAAAGAGAATTATTTTGGTTTCTCTGAGAATTAATGTATTTTGTCTTTATAATTTTTTCCATTAACATTCTAGTTCTTCTCTAGGTTTCCTTTTCCTATATGAAAATGAGTAAAACAATTTCACCTGTACTGCTTTGAGCAATGAATACAGAAATAGAGTATGTAAGATATTGTGATGAGAATTCAGTTCAGCCGCTAGGTCTCAGGAATTTCTCATTACAGTTGAATTTTTTAAAAACAATATAATACAATGGAAATGAATTTACATTATTTGGCAAAGAAATTTTTTTGAAGTAAGATTATTTAACCTATTGTCTTGAAAATATTACTTAACAGTTAAGTTGTTCAACCCAAGTCTGTGGCCACATAATTATGCAGTCTAGACTATACTACTACATAAAAGTTATACAATACTTCTAATGCACATATCAATTCAGTGGTTTTGTAGATCAGATCTTTGTTGCAAACAAAATTCTGGATTGTTTGCCTTTACTGTGCACAAGTATTATAAATAAATCTTGAAAATTGCTTCTGCCCAGACATTGCTTGTGGTTTTATTATTTTGACACACTTTTTTTTTTTTAAGATCATGCCCTGCACAGGTCAAATACGCAAGGATGTAGATGTTGATTCTCATGCAAACCTTGCTCATAAATCATGTTCCAGCTGTCCTGGACATAAGGATGAACTGTTAATCATACCAGCCTGGTACACATCTCTATAATAAGACCATCTTTCTCCTTCTTTTTATGGCCTGACAGAAAGGACACAATGTTTAAATTTTGTTGTGAGTTTGAGTTAACACTTTATGAGCAGCTGAAGGTCTTATTTCTCAGATTGTTGTAAGCAAACCCACTCAACTGTATTTAACAGGATGAGATGAGGGAAAGAGCAGCAGGAAAACACAGAATTGAGCTTACTGTGTCTGCTGCCTTTTGCAAACTTGAAATGCTTACGAGGCCTTATAGGTGAATTCCAACAGCTCTGTAGAAACCCCATTGCTCTTGACAGAATTAAAAGGCGTGGAAACAGAAGATTGTGAGGTGTTTAGTGTTTAATGAGCTACAGTCCCCAGTCCATGCTGGGATTCTGGTCTGAAGATCAGATGATAGTTTTGCCTGGTGGGAAACTTTCTTCTCTCAGCACCGTTATTTTGAAATAAAGGAAAAAGCACCATGTTGCATAGCAGAAGTGTAGAGGTTCTAGCTCATATTTGCCTGTAAACCTCATTTTGACTCCTTCTACTTCCCTAGTGGAAGTACAAATTTTCTCCTTTCTCAGTAAAATACTCAAAGTCTGTAGGCTTTCTGTCAACTCTTGTCCTAGACTCAGGGTTTTTTTAAATGTCAAGGGCTCAGAGCCTGTTGCTGAGGCAGGGGGCTATCGGGAGTGAAACCTGAGCGCGTTTCCACTGCACAAATCCCTCTGAGTTGTTCACCAGGCGTGTATTGCCAATGCTGGTGCTCTGCAGTCTGTTGTGTGCTGGGTGGTGGCTGAGCTCGGCTGGCAGCCAAGCCCCCACCGAGTCGGGCTGGGGAGAGAATCGGGAGGGCAGAAGTGAGAGCAGCTCCTGGGTGGGGATAAAGACAGGCTAATAAATGAAGGAAAATTTAAAAAGCGCAGATGTTGTAAAAGCAACCCCTCACTACCTGCCAGGAGCAGACAGATGCCTGGTCAGCCTCTGAGTGGCGGCTGTTTTGGCAAAACTGCCCCCCAGGTTTTATTGCTGGGCACGGCACCATATGGCATGGGTTACCCCTTCAATCACTTGGGGTCTGTTGTGTGCCCGCTGTGCCCCCTCCCAGCCTCTTGCCCACCCCAGCCTGCTCCCAGGAAGGGGGCGGGGGTGGCAGTGTGAGAAGCAGAGGAGGCCCCTGAGGCTCTGCAAGTTCCCCAGTAGCCCTACCAGTGGTGTGTTATCAACACTGGTTTGGTCACCAGTCTGGAACACAGCACCATAGGGGCTGCTGTGGAGAAAACGGACTGCATCTCAGCCCCACCCAGTCCGGTTGTCATGAGTGAGAAATGGGTTGTGATTGTGCTCTTCGCCAGGTCTCTTCTATACATGTAAGAAAAAGGAAAGGACATGAAAGAACAAAAGACATTGAAGAGAGAAAGTAACTGATCTGAGTATCTACCTTTCCTCTCATCACTTGTTATTTGGGAAAAGAAATTGGCAACCATCTTACTGCCACCTCCTTTCAAGTAGCTGTAGAGAGCAATAATGTCTCTCCTCAACCTTCTGTTCTCTTGGCTAAACACCCCCAGTTCCCTCAGCCGCTTCTCATACAAATCGTGTTCTAGACCCTTCACCAGCTTCGTTGCCCTTCTTTAGACATGTTGCAGCACCTCGATGTCTGTCTTGTAGAGGGGCCCAAAACAACGTGGTATTTGAGGTGCAGCCTCACCAGTGCCAAGTACAGGAGGATGATCACTTCCCTAGTCCTGCTGGCCACGCTGTTTCTGATACAAGCCAGGATGCTGTTGGCCACCTTGGCACACTGCTGGCTCATACTCAGCCAGCTGTTGACCAACACCCATGGGTCCTTTTCCACCTGGCAGCTTTCCAGACACTCTTCCTCAAGCCTGCAGTGTTGAGTGAGATTGTTGTGACTCAAGTGCAGGACCTGGCACTGAGCCTTGTTGAACCTCAACCAATTGACCTTGGCCCATTGGTCCAGCCTGTCCAGATCCCTCTGTAGAGCCTTCCTACCCTCAAGCAGATCAACACTCCTTCCCAACTTGGCATTGTCAACTGCAAACTTACTGAGGGTGCACTTGATCCTGTCATCCAAATTGTTGATAAATATCTTAAACAGAACTGGCCCCAATACTGAGCCCTGGGGAACTCCACCTGTGACTGGCCATCAATTGGATTTAGCTCCCTTCACCACCACTCTTTGGGCCTGACAATGCAGCCAGTTTTTTACCCATTGAAGAATACACTTCTCCCATCCATAAGCAGCCAGTTTTTCCAGGAGAATGCTGTGGGAAATGGTGTCAAAGGCTTTACTAAAGTATGTGTAGACAATATCCACAGCGTTTCCCTCACTCACTAAGCGGGTCATCTAGTCACAGATCAAGTTAGTCAAGCAGGACCTGCCTTTCATAAACCCATGCTGACTGGGCCTGATCAGCTGGTTGACCTGGATGTGTTACATGATATTATTCAGGGTGATCTGCTCCATAACCTTCCTCAGCACTGATGTCAGGCTGACAGTCCTGTAGTCCCCCAGATCCTCTTTCCATCCCTTCTTGTAGATGAATGTCACATTTGCTAACCTCCAGTCAACTAGGACCTCCCCAGGTAACCAGGACTGCTGATAAATGATTGGAAGTGGCTTGGTGAGAACTTTCACCATCTTCCTCGGTACCCTTGGATGGATCCTATCTGGCCCCATACACTTATGTGTGTATAAGTGGTGCAGCAGGTCACTAACCATTTCCCCTTGGATTATGGGGGCTTCATTCTGCTCTCCGTCTCTGTTTTCTAGCTCAGGGGGCTGGATACCCTGAGAACAATTGGTCTTACTATCAAAGATTGAGGCAAAGAACGCATTAAGTACCTCATCTTTTGCCTCAGCCTTTGTCACTATGTTTCTTCCCACATCCACTAAAGGAAGGAGATTTTCCCTAGCCCTCCTTTTGTTGTTAATGTATTTATAGAAACATTTTTTATTTTCTTTTACTGCAGTAGCAAAATTAAGTTCTAGCTTTGGCTTTTCTATTTTTCTTCCTGCATAACCTCACAACATCCTTGTAGTCCTTCTGACTTGCCTGCCCCTTCTTCTAAAAGTCATAAACTCTCCTTTTTTTCCAGAGTTCCAGCCAAAGCTCTCTGTTCAGCCAGGCCAGTCTTGTTGCCTGCCAGCTTGCTTTTCAGCACATGGGGACTTCCTGCTTCTGTGCCCTTAAGATTTCCTTCTTGAAGGATGTCCAGCCTTCCTGGACTCTTTTGTCCTTCAGGACTGCCTCTCAAAGGACTGTTGTGGTTTAACCCCAGCTGACAATTAAGTACCACACAGCTGCTTGCTTACTCCCTGGTGGGTTGGGAGAGAGAATCAGAAAAAAAAAAACCTAAGTAAAACCCATGGGTTAAGATAAAGATTGTTTAATGGGACAGAAAGGAAGGGAAAATATTAATGGTAAAAGAATATACAAGTGATACACAATAAAATTGCTCACCATCTGCTGACTGATGTCCAGCCAATCCCCAAGCTGTGGTTCCCCCCAGCCAACTCCCTCCCCCAGTTTATATATGGGGCATGACATCACCTGGTATGGGATACCCTGCAAGTGGGGCAGAAGACCAGCTTGGCAGAACAAGGAACTCCTCATTGAGCTCATGTGGAAAAAGAAATTGTGTGATCTCTGGAAGCGAGGTCAGGCTTCGCAGGAAGCATATAGGGCTGTGCTTTGCTTATGCAGGAAGAAGACATGGAAGGCCAAAGCTCAAGTAGAGCTGAAACTGGCCAGTGTTGTTTCAGATAACAAGAAGGGCTTTTTAAAGTATGTTAATAGCAAGAAGAGATATAAAGAAAACTTGGGACTGATACTTGTTGAAGTTGGTCACCTGACAAATGGGGTTGAAGAAAAAGCGGAGGCATTCAATCCTTTTGTTGCCTCAGTCTTTAATAATATTGATAGACCTTGGGCTGTCCGGTCCCCTGATTTGGAGGACCACGACCGCAGGAATGGTGACTTTCCATTTGTGAACACTGAAATTGTAAGGGACCAGCTGTATCAGCTGAATGTTCACACATTCATGGGGCCTGATGGGATTCATCCCAGAGTTCTGAAGGAGCTAGCAGATGTTATGGTAGGACCCCTCTCAATCATCTATCAAATGTCTTGGGAGTCTGTGGAGGTCCTTGCTCACTGGAAGCTAGCCAGTGTTATTCCATTCTACAAAAAAAAGCATGAGGGAAGACCCAGGAAACTACAAAACTATTAGTCTAACCTCAGTTCCTGGAAAAATATGGAGAAGGTTATACTGGGTAATATTGAAAAGCATTTAAAACATAATGCAATCATCAGGCACAGTCAACATGGGTTCACAAGAGGAAAGTCCTGTTTAACTAATTTGATACCCTTCTATGTTAAGGTCACCCACATGGTGGATGAAGGGAAGGCAGTGGATGTAGTCTTTCTGGATGTTAGTAAAGTCTTTTGATATCGTCCCTCACAGCATCCTTCTGGACAAGTTGTCCAGCTGTGGTATGAGAGAGTTCACAGAGTGCTGGGTGAAGTACTGATGGAAGGGCAGAGCTCAAGGGGTTGGTATGAGATTTACCACATTAGAGAAAAGACATTATTGCAAGAGTTTAAGAATTCAGGTAAACTACCCAACCTCAAAATAAACACAGTAGAATCCTGATTTTGATATAGAAACTAAAACACCTTGCTGTCAGTTTTCATTTAGAAGACAGAAAATAAAAAAAAAAAAAAAAAAGAAAATGTAATGTTCACCAGTCCAATTTCAATCTGACTGAAAAACAAACCTGTAGATGAGGATTAGGGAGAGTAAAAGCTCTTGCTCT